CTAGCTTCGTTTATAATCAGTTTTATTATAATAACGAATTCTTCAAGAAATCTCTAATAAAGAAAACCTAATTATTGAATGCAAATAGCTCAAAAAAATATTCAAAAATAAAAAAAGAAAATTAATTGAAAATTCTTTTCTCTTATTGAAATGAAGAGCTTCATCTACGTATTACATCTATCCTAAGCAGCAAACTCGTCACAAACACAGTTTTCACGTCAATGATGATGAATGAGAAGCACTACCAGCTACAACAAGCGACAGTAAGATATATTGTGAAAAGTTTCTAATAAAGACAGTTAGTAGAAACGTTATAGTTAATTTAGAACTATCACGTTGATGCAAGCATTTTGCTAAAGCTGTATGAAAATGAGCAGAACAGTAAAGAGCGACAATTTAATAGAAGTACAAGTGTTTCGACTAATATCAATCGTGGAAGTATTTGGTCATCTACTAAAATAACTCCAGTTAGTAAGATTGAGTTAAGTACAACAACCTGGGATTCAAATAACGAAAAACTGGAAGAGGATGAAATAAATTTTAAAAAGTATGAAAAAAGTCAAGATAAAAATTTTTTATTTGCATCAATGTTTGTTTTATTTGTATTTCAAGCCGTGTTGGAGCTTATGCTTTTTGTTGTCAAAACTATAAAGTTTTATTAGCTGGTTTGTTGATTGGATTATTAACAGCTGGTATTGCGCTAAGCATCGTAATGGCAATGTGGTTGAGCTCGACAGGTGAGATTTATCAATACTTTTCGTGCATGACGATTGAAGGAAAGATGAACAACAAATTTTTTTTTTAAATATTCAATTTTTGTAAATTGTTGAAAGTATTCTCAAAGCTTTTTGTAGTTTTTTGCCATTAAGATATGTCAACAGAGAAAATTTCTCAAGACTAAAAATTACCAAAGTCCAGAATTTTTATTTTCTTTGTATGCTTTTTTTTTTCTTTTGAACTTATTTAACGACGCAAAAATAGTTGTTTGTGAAGCACTCAAAAGACGCAATTGAATTTTATTTTCACGCTCAAACTTCAAATCAGAACAAGAGAAGTTTTGAGTTTCAGTCAGAGATGTAAATCAATCAACTCAGCTTTCTATCGATCGTAGCAAAAATATTGAAATATTCGACTCATCAATACGAAAATACTGAGGTGATCTATTCACCCAACAATCGTTGGCGAAAGATTTTCTAAAGATTTCAGCTATTCCTATCATCAGACACAAACAAATAGTTGATATATAAGAATTCACGATAATTAAAATCAATTTTGGGAAATCATCTTGTCTAGTTTCTTATTAGTAAGTTTTCGGCCATTATTTTCTCTTGTTTTCATTTAAAAATTTCTTAAAGCTTAGAAAAATTTGAATAGAGAAGTCAGCAAAATTTAAGGCTTTTATTGAAGTTACCAATCGATTTATTCGCTTACATTTCTAGCACCAGTGACCAGTAATTATCATTTAACAAGATATTAAGTTGAAAGAAACGAATGTTCACTGATGTTCATTGCAGTTATACTATCATTCAGCTTAAGAAACGGAGTAGTAACTAAAGTCTTTATGGATGAACTTAGCAAAAATCAGTTTTAAAGTTTATTTAAATAAAATATTATTCGGTTGTGAATCAACTCCATTTATTGAAACCCTAGGCATTTAAAACTAAAGTTTCGAAACGAGATTCTCGTTAGGAAATCGCTCAACAACAATGTCTTTCTATAAAGTATAGCGAAAAAACTAGTACTGTGATGGTGGCAGATTACTCGAGGACTATCGGTGATTGACCCCATTCCTAAAAATTTTTTTTCGGCTTGTTTCTATCAGAAACAATTAAAACATAAGCCGATGACACTCCGAATGTGTTTCAAAACAGGTTTTATGATCATGATCGTCACCTCCTCCATCCTTTCAGAAACGTCCCATATACAAATATCCTAGATCTGCCGTAGCATAATGTCACTGTATTGTGATGAAAAAAACATCTAAATGTATGTTGCTACGGAATAAAACAGATACATGTATGCATTTATCTATTCCTCAAGAAAGACTTCGACACCAACAGTTCATAGCACCTTTTGCCAGCTGGAGAAAGAGATATTATGCTGAGAATTACAGATTTAAAGCAATCTATTGATCGGCGATGGCAGAGCTATTATCGATCCGGAAGAATCTATATATATAATGTTCAGTCTGTGTGTCTGTGCCGGGTCAAAGGTTAAGGGTTAATAGTCATATAAGGCTATAAGGGGAAGGCGCCAAGGGCTATTATATGGAGATACCCATAGGTCGTCATGGGCTACCCTATGGAGGTATCCAGAGGTCCTCAAGGGCTATTAGATGGAGGTACTCACAGGCCTTGAAGGTCTATTATATGAGGGCACCCATGGATCCTCAAGGATCCTCCTATATGGTGCCCATAGGCTCTGAAGGGTGTCAAACAATTTAGGGATAAGGTTACAAGTGGTACAAGGGATATAAGGACATAAGGCTGCATGAACTTTAAAAATATGTGCGATAGAAGAGTATGAGGCCGTAAGGCTTCAATCTATATACATATTATCGCGTATCCGTGTATGTCTGTTATCAGATCAAAAGTTAAACGTCTGAAATCAGTCGTTAAAGAAGAAACCAGCCGTGCAGAATGCACGGGTTCTCGCTAGTATATACTATTTCGCAATGTTGAACATTTCGGAATCAGTTCCGTCCACGGAATCAATTCCATCAACTCTGGAATTGCGGCAATTCAGTACAGTCGGAAGTCTCAAAAATTCCATCCGATTCGAGACTCATAACTGCGTGCATTCACTCGACACCTCTCACCAAGTGCTCAATGATCCAATTCTGGGGCAGAATTCTGGAAATCAGAGCGAATGCCAAGGAATTCCGTCCAATGCTGGAATTACAGTGTCTTAGGTATACTTCTATCTATCACTCATCCTCATTTCACTTAGTTCCGGTGCGAAATTCCGGGAATGGAGTCGATACGGAATTGGAAAGAATTGGACGGAATTCCTAGGGATGCCCAGGAATTCCCTCCAATCTCGTTTTGACTCAATTCCCAAAATCCCCTACCGGAATGCCGAGAATTGGATATGGGTATAGATATGCATGTAAGAAATGATTCATACCTTCATTTTGCATCTATACACACCTACCCCCACACCAGGGTTGCCAGATCAAAATCTTACCAGTCGGAATTCTTTTGTCTGAATTCGGAAAATTTCGGAAAAAATATCTGGCAAATTCGGAGAAAAGATTCGGATTGTAGTTTCTAAGCTTTTCAACGCTTAAGTTGATTTTTTTTCTGGTAAAAGAGCTTTCTGAGATTGGTTATTCTCTCTGGGGAAGTGTTTCATCAATGTTAAAACACATATATTAAATATAACACTATTATAAGACATCATTTTCAAGAAGAGACAGTTAGTACAAGAAAAACAACTCAAAATCAACTATCTATACATGTATATATATATATACAATTCAAAACATTTATTGAAAAAAAACTAAAGTTCATTTACCAAGATGATTTTTTCTAATAAATGTTTCATTTGAAACTATTTTTTTCAATAGTTCCTCTTGAGTTAAAAGAAAGTCATAAAAATGTGCACAAGGAATATCGAAATTCTTTCTGAGTTGTAGTTCAGCTTCGACCAATTCGATATTCATTTGATTTCGATAATCAGATCATAAGTGATTCATGTGACTGAATATTGATTCAACAAAAGTATTTCTACATGGAATAGAAAATACATAGGCAACAACTACTATAGTTTCATATTTGGTATTGTATTTCGTTTAATATTTAATAAATATGACCATAGCTGATCAGATTGAATATATTCATTTGCTCTTGCACCATTATTTAATAAACCATCATTATCATCTTCGTTAACATCACATGAAATTCGATTACTATTGATTATTGATTTTGGATTATAAACATGTTTACTTGAAATGTATAATTTTCGGAAAAACTTAGAAAATTCGAAAATTTCCGACTAATTTGGATGATATGGCAACCCTGCCCCACACTCTCGCACCCACACCTACCTACACCTAGGCCGATAGGATGATAGAATAATATTAGATGTCATAACTACGGGATTCCTAGGAACTCCGAGGAATTTTCATTAATTCCAATTTCATTCAATTTTGGAATTCCGGATCAGAATCATATGTATGATTACTAGGTGGATAGCAGAAGATAGGATAATCGTACAAGTTATAGTTCCGGAATCAGACTAATTCAAGCTTTTTCCCGATTCCAGAATTCTCGATATGGATGAGATTGATTTCTTGGCTGAAACTGATTCCATAATGTTCAACATTGCGAAGTAGGATGACTGCTTCGCTCTAGACCGTTGATGGTGACAGTTGATGTGTCTTAAAAACTTTGAAGCTGTCAACGATGGTTAAGTCGATCGACATACGTCTCAACTTCGAATATATTTAGTTGATTTTAGTTTTTGTTTTACTTGTTTCATTTCAGTATCAAAGAGCACTACAACGAGCACTACCAGTACAACTACTACTTGCACTACAACAACTTCGACTACAGACACTACCACTACTACGACGACGACGACAACAAGTTCAACTACGAGCACAACAACAACTTCCACTACAAGCACTTCCACCACGACAACTTCGACTACCAGTATAACCACTACTTCAACTTCAACTACAAGCACAACTTCAACAAGTATATATATTTTTCTATACATTTTTTTAAAGATATCTTGAAAAAGTAGATTGTAGTGAGTCAACAACTCAAATCTATTAGATAAGTTTAGAATTAACGAGTTTTTAGTAAGTTTCAACGATATCATCTTTTTTGTTGTTCATTCTTAATTGTAAAAGATAATGAAAGAAACAAATTGATGATAAATTGTATTTTAAAAATGAAAAGATCATTTCATGCAATAGGAATTAAATGTTTGTCGAAATATTCTTCTACATGAAAGAAATTTTTTCATAAACAATATTTATTTTTATTCTAAAAATGAAACTAATAAGTTGAATTAATTCTAATATGTCAAACAGATATAAATGGACACAGTTATCAATTTTTAAATGAAAATGTATTTCAGCTGCTACAACAGTTGCTTCAAATTTGACGCCATCAACTGCCACTTGTAGTAGTACTGTTGCAACATGTAAGTTTAGTCTACTGGTTATTTTCATTTAGTGCAATGTTTGGATATCCCATCTATTTGCTTAGCTTGTACGACGACAACATCAATTCTTGCTATTTGTCAAAGTTATGAAATATCATGGAATGGACAATGTTATTACTTAGATGGATCAGGTGGAACTTGTGCAACTGGTTATAGTTTAGCAACCAATGCTGCTTTGACCTGTATAAGCACCTTATTTTCCGGAAAAAACTATGCAACCACGATATCAAGCAATTGTTGCATTTGGACGGCCGATACTTATGAATGTTATGGACTTGGCTCAAATTGTAATTCGGCTGGACCGTTTACGTCAGGACCAACATTGGGTGGTGTTGGATGCAGCAACGCACACAATCATCAATCTCAACAACTAACATTTTGTGTTAGTAATTAGTTAGACTAATACTTGTTGGAATCTTTCATTCGATGAAATTCAATCTGAAGAAAAAAAACATTTTCATGAGAAATCATTCCTCTACGATCAATTTTTGAATTAGTTTCTAGAAGTCTGACTGTATCACTGAAATAATCAACTATGAGCTTGTATCTTTCTTTTTAACTTAATACATTTATAATCTCACTCGTGAAGTAAAATTAACTAACAAATAATTATTTTCTTTACATTTTGGACATTCATCTTGTTTTATTGATGAAATTCACTAGTTAACAAACTATCTTTGTTTTAATAAAGAAAACTTAAACAAATACTTCACGAAAAGTTATCTCGAATTTGAACAATCTTGTTGTACTAACAAAGATATCTGAGTAGGCTCATATATTATCTGGATAGACGTTGACAATGTCTATAATATACAAATAGAATTTACAAAATTGCTTATCAGCTCATCGAACTTATTCGATCTATTTTTTTTTGAGATATATATAAATAGAAAACTTTTCATTAAAAAAAAAAGAATTTTGGTATCTACTGAAGTGTTATTATAAACAATGGTGTTAGTGTAGGTAAGAATTTCGAACGATTCTAACAAGAAGACCTACACCATTTCGCACCAGAGATGTCCACAGGGCGGTATTTTAATGTCCTGCCCTGACAAAAAGAATAATAAATTAGAAAATTCACGCCCTGTCCTGTCTCGCCCTGATGGGTAGGGCAGGGCAGGTGCTCTGGAGAGCATTGACAATATTTCAATTCGATATTTTTGAGTAATTATGGGTGATCAAAGTAAATGTTGCTTATATTGATACTGAAGCAGTTGTTTTATTGTTTAACAATGGATCTATAATAACCATATGGGAATTATTTTCACGAAGTAATTGATGAGCATGGTTTGACTAAGGTAGGAAAAGAGGATTCAATAGGCAAAGTTCCTGCTGATGAAGCCAAAAAGTTATTCAAACTTGTTTCTGTCATTAAGAGCTGCTGGATAGCAGAATAATTGCTACCAGAATGCCAAAGGTTTTGTTCATTCATGCTTTAAAATGCGAAACTTATTGTTTTCTTTTAATAAAAGTAGCTATAATTGATCTGATGCATCCGCGTAGTAGTGCAGTAGGCACACTCGAGGAAGAAGAAATCGAAGTTATGTTTCCATCATCAGCCGTTGGAGAACGAATATCAAATCGTAAATCGTCAACAGTCGAATTCATCGTTTTATTTGCTTTGAGTAATTATAGTAAATAGCAAAAAAATAACAGACAGGTACAGATTCATGCATATCCATTGTCGTAATTTTCGTCCTTTCTATTTCTTTTCGACTCAGAACGAACAATTGGACACAAGATTCGACAAGATTCTGCGTCTGATTATATATGATCTTGTACGATTTGGTATGAATCGTACAAAAAATCGCAGTCTCTGAAATCCTACATCAATTATTATTATAAGATTCTTGACAGATCTTATTGTCTTGCCAGATCATACTGTAAGATTATACAAAAACTTATGCGATGGTAGGATCTAACAAGAATCTTACAGTAAGAATTGATGTAAGGTTTCAGAGACTACGTTTTTTTGTACGATTTCATATGATCATGCAAGACTTACTGTCAGATTTTTTGATCTGGTGATAATTGATCTGGCATATGTATTCCTCGCATCAATGAGATAGAGCGAACAGCCTAATGATAATGATATCACTCTTCTTTTCTTTGTGACGATTTATTTTGACAACAAAATGTAAACTTTTAAGGGTAAATTTTTTTCGAAATATGGAGGGCATGACAATCTCGTCCTGCCCTGCTTCAGGGCGAGGCAGGAAGCAGGACAGGGCAGGTTGCCTTGTCCTGTGGACATCTCTGTTTTGCACCAACACCCTCTTTTGAATCATGTCATTTTTATCAGCTTTCTATGAGATGAAGAATTTCGAACCGGTTTATAGGAGATACATCGATCGTTCTCTTCCAGTACGTAAGCGACATGATTATTTCTATAGATCTATTTCCTGATAACTATCAAACCATAACAAGGATAGTTATAGGATGTCTCTTTATTTACACTCACACCCAAAATGTTTGGACTTTCCAATGATGTAAAAATTTTCGAAATTGAACTTATTAGAGTCTTTAAAAATTAGCTTTTACATGATGTAGCTAAGGATGGCTAGAATAATTGATTTACTCCAATGACACTAGCGCAATGATTGATTTATTCCACGTGGGGTAAATAAATTATTTGATAGAAGCCATTTGAAAAACCAGGGTACATCCGTCTCTGGAATGTATTTTGGAAAAATAAAAGCATAGTTTTGTAGAGTAGGGTTTCAGCTATAAGGTTGGTAACGAAAATTTTTTTATCCGATGAAAAATGGAAAAATTATAAGGCAATAAAAAGACAAACTACCAAAAAACATAATTGATTTACTCCATCGTACTCTAAACCTCTTTCATTACTTATAAGAACGGGCAAACTAGAGAAATATTGCTATCGCCATCACCTCGATACAAAGAAGAATAAGAATAATGAAAAGAACAAGAAGAAAAGCGGACATCACATTTCTAAGCGGGCAAAAGGTCAGGCAATATGTTCGACGGGAATGTTTCCAGTATACGCCAAATGTTGTATACTATTTTTTTTCTTTTATACCATATCATTCATTGTTCATCATTATAACTAAACTTTCTTCATCAAGTAACGAATACTTTCTTATTCCAATAATGATTACAAAATTTGAACAATTACCAAATGAATTAATATTAACTTGTTTTTCATATTTCAATTTCTATGAATTATATGAGATATTTTCTAATTTAAATCAACGTTTTAATCAACTAATTCAATATGAATCAAAACTATACATTAACTTAGATTCAATACCAAATACAAAATTTTTAACTTTTTGTTTGAACTTAAATCAATTCATAGCAACAAATCGAAACTATCCAGTATCGGTCATAGCTCATGATAAATATAAACTTAATTTTATATTTTACGATGATTTATTCAAAGATAAATTTTCTAAATTAAAATCTTTAACATTATCAAATATAACAGTTGAAACTATATATTCTATAATATTTGAAACAACCGCAAAGTTATATGAAAGTTTAAGACGGTTAAAGTTACTAGACGGCATCAGTTCAGAAAAGAAAAGAGACGATAATAATATACAAAGTAAGAATAAGAATTTAAGTTTGATTGATTGTATATACACAACTCGAAGTTTTATATGTTTAGAATTATGTAATAATTTAATATCATCAAAAATGAAATCATTAATATATTTGCATTTAAATTTTGAATCATTTCGGTGTGAATGTCAAAATAGTAGGTCCTCATATACAGATGATATTTATTTAGACTTTAAGGAATTATCACAAAGAGAAAAATCGTTAAGTCATCTAGAAACTCTTATTATTGGAAGTAAGCTATTTAATTCTACACATATCTATAACTTATATACATAGGAATCTGTGATGATGATAATTACATTATATCAATACCAATATTATGCTTTCATTCATTAATAACAGATTTATTACCATGTCTACTGAAATTAAAAAATTTATTTATAAATTCGATCCATTTTATGAACTATGATAATCTCCGACAAAACTCAGTACGCGAAAATAACTATTAGACTGTTTTCTTAATGACATTTGTTTTGTAATAGGCATTATCAACTACAACAACAAATTTTATTTTACCATTAAATTTAAAATCGATTAAAATCTGGATCGATAATCTTGATGACGATGATGAAGAAGGAAATAGAAATTTAACACGAAATTTCTTTATAAATAACAACTTATGTAAGACAGCAATAATTAAAATATTCAATATTGAGTATGAAGATGAGTTTTAGAACTTCATTTGTTTATCATTTTGTATTTCATCTTTCTATTAGAATGAAAGAAAAAAACATTAAAATACTTTTTTGTTGATATTATCGAATAAAGAAAAAAAAGAAAATATAAAAGCGAATTATCAAAATGAAACAAAAGAGTTCAACTTAGTAACAGACGAATGTTTATAGTCAACAATCAAAGTGAGAATAGGAGTTTACTTTTAATCGCCATATTTAGTTTTCGTTCTTCAGAAAATGATCGTTTGACAATTTCGCTTCTCGATATAAAACGGATATAAGAAGAGAGATGAATAAATATTGAGCAGAACAATCGAAACGTTCATGTCTCATCAAATGACATTGTATTCATTTTTTCCAATTCACTGTGAGGCTGAAGGTTGAGTTGATTGTCATCAAACATGATCGGCACATACTCAGTTAATTATTGATACTTTTTTTTACTAATTGTCTCGTTTTGCGTGGAATTTCTTTTGATCAATCTACACACTGTCATATAAACAATCTTCTTTTTCTTCATCTATTTTCTCATTGCATTTCAAGAGATTGTTGTTGATGGAGGTGGGTGTGGCTGGGTGTGGGTGTGCATGTGGGCTGTGGGTACGTGGAGTGAGGGATGTGGATGTAGGTGCAGGTGTGGGTGCGGGATGTGAAAAAAGAGAGGAAATACACCCACACCCACACCCTTGATCACCATCTTCGAAGAGATGAATATCATTGATAATACTTTGAATATCTGTTATTAAATTATGATAATGATTGTCTCTTTCAATAATTATTGAATTAAGCCAGATGAGAAGAACATTAGATTCTACTACTGTATTTTTATCATCAGATGAGCCTGTTGTGATTTTGTTCATAATGTGTGTTGATACGTTTGTCATTAAATATGAAGAGACTGAATGAGCTGTAGCAATAATTAAAAAGAGGAAGTTACTCAAAACAGTTATTATGTTTTCTCAAGGACAATGATATGTTCTGTTTTCATAAAACGAACTAATTATTTCTTAAGAGCGTAGATATTTTTTCGCTCCTAACGTTCATCACGGAGATATCGATGCACATCACTTTCCCAATTAACAAACATTTTATTTCTTGCTTTCTGTTACAGCGGAGATATTCTTCGTTTGAAAAAAAAGCACAACTCTCTCACTCTTAATCTCAAAACGTGGTTAATCTTTGACAAGATTTTCTTCGTTCAGGTCGATGACATGCAAAATTTAAAGCTGTGAAATGCCAGTGACTTTGAAGGGTACTAATTGTGGATATTGTCCTGTTAACCAAGAAAAGTAAAACATTTCATCACCAATTAAAATTGGACATTTCGGTGTGATGCCTTTATCATTTCCCAGATTTAAATCAATGCGTTTGATTATCTTTCCAATATCCATGTGAACAGCAGTGATGAAATACAAGATATCTGATTTGTGTGAATATGATGAACCAGATAATATATAAACAATCCGTCGTTTCGAATTCATTGTAATACAAAAGGAAGCTAATTCGAATTTTTTCATTTCACTTGATGTTGCCAATTCACTTGTCCATAATGTTTTTCCTCGATTGTCGATAGCAAATACCAGCGGCATACTGGATATATAAACCGTACCATTCTCGTCTATAGTAGGTGGTGTTATATCGGCATTGCCAGCAATTGCGGGAGGTGCAGGCCAATTCCAACGTAATTTTATCTGTTGTGTTGATACATCATGTGATGAAACAAGAAATTTCGACGGTGAACTAGTCATGTTTTGCCATGGTCTCACAATAATTTGCTGTTGTCTATCTAGAACAAAATCTCGACCAAATCCGTCTAACTGTGTAACATTATTAATTAGCTTCTCTCCTTTTTGATCAAATTTCAATAGATGATCATCACCACCTATCCAAAATATGTTACCCATATTTAAATCCCATCTATAATCTCCATGTATTCCAGCACCGAAGAAATGTCTATTCACCCATAACAAATCCAGAGTTGTTTTGTTTAAAACAGCTGGCACCAATTCAATTTCATTACCTTTGACAGATGTAATTAGAAGATCATATTTTTCATTAAGAGCTAGTAGTGTTTTGATGTATACAAACAATTGAAAATTTTCGACACATTTTTGAAGAGGATATGATGTTTGAGCATTTGTCACACGACAAATTTTCGCTGTAATCCTTGTATCACCTGCCCATGAGATAGTATAAAAGAGATGTCCTTGACGATCAGAAATAATATTGGAAATACCAATTGATTCCATGTCCGGTTCAGATTCAAGAGGAAGTTTCCAACGAACAATTCCATTTGTAGTTAGACACATCATAAAATCAGCTAAATGAAGAAATTGTTTTATCGAATTGGATTTATATTTGAAAATGTCAAATGTCTATTAGAAAGAAGAAACACTTGCCTAAATGAGATCTTGTTTCACTCAGAAAAAAATAAAGATCACCGTTGACCCCAGCACCTTGTCCAAACTGAGTAGTGTCTTGCGATGTTAAATTATATTCAAAAATCCATGGCATTTTCGAATAATTCGTAGCCATGGATGGGACAATACGATGTGTATTTTGAGAATTACCCTCTTCATTAGACCATTGTGATTCAGGATCATTATCATTAGTCATACCATCAACAATCGTAGATTGCTGCAGAATGACAAAAATTAACCATATAAATATATAATAAATCATATATCTCTCTCTATTAAGAATAAAACTAAACCGATAAAAGACCATTTTCTCTTTTATATTTTGAAACGAGTCCCATCTGTTAATTCCCATATGATCCATTATTTCTTTTTGTCTGCACTTGTTTATCATATGTTAAGAATCTATTATCCATTTCAAATTAAAAGAGAGGGTCACTATTGGTCGAATATCTCGACAATGATAAAAGCAAGAGACTTATGGTTTCTTTCATTCGATAGCTCTATATGGGACAAGTAAATTATGTGCAACGGGCAAAAATTTTCGAACTTGTTTTTGAGGGTTTTGAGAGCTTTTTTTGAAAAAATTCGAAGTATCAGGATATTAGAGAACGCCATTTTGGCATCCAATTATTGCAAACGGTAGACTAGATTGTCCTCTTCATTCTAAAAAAATCGCAGCTGTCTACACTGCACCACTAAAAACTGCAAACCATACTTCTGGAAACTTGAAAAATGGCATTTTCAGCTATTTTGATATCTTTTTCCCATTTTATCTAAGACTAGTCGATCAACTAAATCCATATTTGGAATCAACATGCAAAACTGCATCGTCTGAGGCGTATGTCAGTTTCATCTAGAAATTATAATTTTTCTCACTACATGGCTACATCAGGCTGTGAATCAGGAGGTACCATATGGCAAAAAATTAAAGTTTCTAGATGAAAGTGACATACGCCTCAGACGATGCAGTTTTGCATGTTGATTCCAAATATGGATTTCGTTGATCGACTAGTCCTAGATAAAATGGGAAAAAGATATCAAAATAGCTGAAAATACCATTTTTCGAGCTTCCAGAAGTATGGTTCGCGGTTTTTAGCGGTGCATTGTAGACAGCTGCGATTTTGTTTTAAATGAAGAGGATAGTCTTGCCTACCGTTTGCAACAATTGGATGCCAAAATGGAGTTGGGATGTTGATGTGGATATGCGTGTGGGTGTGGGTGGGTGTGGGTGTAGGGTGTGGGTGTGGGTGTGGGTGGGTGTGGGTGTAGGGTGTAGGTGTGGGTGTGGGGGTTGTTTGAATGAAAGGTTCCACCCACACCCATACCCACACCCACACACCCACACCCACCCACACCCACCCACACCCACCCACACCCACCCACACCAACACCCACACCAACACCCATACACACCCACACCCACACCACACCCCACCCACACCCACACCCACACACCCACACCCACGCCCACACACCCACACCCATCTATAGGTGCCATTGGGCAAGAAAGGGTTAATATGATCTTGAGTATTTTAAGTAGAGATAGCAACTTGAACAGTAATATATTAAAATGTATAGTTAGGTTTTCTTCTACAAACTATATAATCGATTAAAATCTCAGTTTAAGGATGTAACTTTACTGTAACATCGTTCTCGTGAGATTATAGAACGCAATGACAACTTCCAATAGATGATATCTGAGGTCGAAATACTTGGCTTCGGAAGATTGAGCTCATCTAAAAACTGATATTTTCTTGAAACATCTCCTACGAAGATAATTCTCTTTAAACATTAGAAAGTTTGCATGCCTTAAATTTTGAGTAAATATCAAGGGGAAAAAGTGAGACTCACTCTACTCCAAAAAAAAAAATTGGAGTACAGCTAGAGTACAAAAGAAGTGCGCACTCGAGGAGTCTCGCTTTTTTCCCCTTGACCCATTTCCTTTGTCGGGGACTTGGGTATACTCCTCCGAGAAAATTACATATCCATACTCAGTTTTTCGAGCTCTTTCGAATGATGTGTTTTTCCTCGACTTCAAACTTTTTGCTTGAACAAATGAAAGAGTATAAGAATAGTCTTTAAATCATTCGAAATGTCATTCTATTGAGAACTTATAACAGTTGATAGAATTTGAAATCTGAGTTTACAACATATCAGTCGCAACTATTTTGGAAAAAAATCAGCCAGATGAAATTCAACAATCTTTAGAGTCAACTATTCGGACTTCATCGAAATAAAAAATGCAAGCAAATAAATGTTGATCAATATGATGTTCGATGATATTTTCGTCTATATCTGATAGTTCTACTCATTTGAAAATATTCAGCAGAGCTTTATTTATTTTCATATTTCAAATATTTACTCAAATGAAAGTTTGGCTCTGGTGGATTATACTACTTTAAAGGCTGGTTTATCAATATTGTTATGAAACTATTTATTCACACTTATAGATCCACAAGTATTAAAAGAAAAAGATAATACCATATGATACATAAATAGATAGACCTCAAATACGATTTTTCAACAATGTAAAAAATTTTTATGCACCACATTTAAAAATTCAAGCTAAACGACGTTTAGTTCAGTTTGAGAGATTATTGTCATTTATATTGAAGCTTGCCGTTGTCCATTGGCAACACCATTAGTGGAGAAAATTCAAATTTTTCATTTGATTTTTTGTATGCGCACAAACTTTCTTAGCTGATGATGTTGTGAATGAACAACGACACATTCTAATATAAATGATTATAGCGCATCAATTATTGTCTTATTTCAAGTTAAACCTAATCTACCTATAAAATTTTTTATGGTGTTCATTATATAAACTATATTTTTGTACATCGAGGATAAGCACGGAGAATAGTAGAAAAATCACCGTGTAAAAAAAATTCAGTGTGCACAGCGTACACGCTACTTTTATCACCAGCGTCTAAAATAGTGTATAGATATTTTTTCTTTAGGATACTGTATCTGTTGTTTTCTTCGGTATACTCATTCATTACAAATACTGCATATGATAAAGGTGACGTTAATGTGCAACGATGCAAAACGGAAGTTATTTCTTCCTCTGTAACTTGTTGGAAAAATCCTTTTTTTTTATTTAAATAAATATCATAACAATATAGATCAATCATAATTGAGTAAGAAAAAAATGGATGTGAAAGGATACAAATTGTTACCGACTCATATTGGCCGTTTAACAAAGAGTATATTCGATGAATATTCAATATATATATTTAATATTCCATCAAATATAATTGATAAGTATCTTCCAAATAAACTTGATGCTTTTGCTTCATTAACATTGATCAATTTGGCTAAACATTATTTTTTTTATTCAAAACCAGTTATATTTGCTTCTCGATCACAAATAAATAAAAATGTTCAATCAATATCAAATACAATATCACTTGAAGATTTTCTAGAAGAATTATTATCAAAAAAAGATTTGGAATTACGTTATAATTTTGTAATAACTGGGAATTTATTAGTATTTGCTCAGATACCTCGTGTTCGTCATATATCATATCATCTTCTTTGTAAACATATAACTCTATCGAATCGATCAACAAATGTTAAATTTGCTGGAGAATTTTGGATTGATCAACATGATTATTTTAAATTAAATAATAATTCAGGTACATATCAACCATCGGATACATTAATTGAACAAGTTGTGCAATTTTTTAATTATATATTACCTCATTTTCAATTTCAAGGTAGAAGTTTTCGTATAAGTGCTCGACCTTCCACTACACTAGAGTCCTGCAACGGGATCGGGTACCCGGTACCCGACCGGACCCGAAACTGTGGTCCGGGTACAAATTTGCCGGGTCGGTTCGGGTGCCGGGTATAAAAAAAAATGCCGGGTCGGGTGCAGAATTTGAGCATACCCGGTACCCGACCGGTAGTCGATGACATCTTAACAAGTAAAAGTATTTTACACTCTAGGATAGAGTCCTGCAACGGGGCCGGATACCCGGCACCCGATCGGACCCGGAACTGTAGTCCGGGTACAAATTGTTACTTGATGAAATTAAAATAATAGTATATTTTGCCATATGAAATAAAAGTTTGAAAAGTGAATATAATTTTGACAATAACAATCAAGTGCTGACTATTTCAAGGCTGGGCCGGGTCCGGTCGGGTACCGGGTAGAGCTATCCGGGTCCGGTCGGGTACCGGGTAGAGCTATCCGGGTCCGGTTCGGTTCCGGGTGGAAGATGACCGGGTCCGGTCGGATTCCGGGTTTGAAAAAAATGAGCCGGGCCGGGTCCGGGTGCGAAAAGTAGTACCCGTGCAGGACTCTACACTACACATCGAGTTATCATTAAAACCAAACAAAAATTACATATAAAAACATAGTCAACATGTTAATTAGATTTCAACTTAATTGATATTTATATTGATGATTTTCAATTTAATTCTTTTTTCCTTAACCAAGAATAAATCGTTTTTTTTTAAACAATTAATTTAAACCATTTATTCTTATTTGAAACATCATATCAAAATTATTTTATGTCTACTGTATTGATCTTAATAGAAACAGTAACATTTGATAATTTTCTTCTTCATACTTGTGTAGAAATCATTTTATACATTTTATAATCAAAGCGCAAGAGATTAGACTAATGAGGGAATTTCCTCAGGTATTACCCTCCGATTTTGATGAATTTTGGTCTATAGACACTACATAGTGCCTTAACCCTTCGTGGTTGTCCGGGTTTTTGTACTTCGTAGCTGTCCTGGGGTCCGCCTGGACCCACCTATAGAAAATTACAAAAAAACGATTTTTTCCTTTCTTGAAGGGTTTCATTTGACTTATATGAAGAGGTAGAGATCTTTCTTTATAAAAACTAATGAGTCAGCCTCTCGTGAAAACAATGTAAAGATGTATGATATCGCAAAAAATTACTTTCTCTAATCGTTTTTGTAGCAACATTGATAATAGCTGGGAAAAGCATAGAATGTATCAATCTAGTCTAGATGATAGGATTCTACGCGTACATTGTTATATATATAATCAGTTGTACAATTGAGAGAGCAAGAAACTTTTCTTTTTGAACTATAGTTACTTTTATCTTTCTCTTTATTATTAGAAAAAGCAATAAAAACTCAGTTTTTTTTTATCAAACTGATGATGTTGTTTGTATATAAATATTATGAACCATCAATATAAATAATGAACATATAAGCCAACCAAAGTAACTCATTTAAAAAAAATTGTGAATCAACAGATGGCAGCTTCATCTAGACGAAAAATATGCTGGTAACAGCATAGTTATCGTAGGGTCCATCCGGATCCACAGCTGCATTTTTCATCTGCTAGGCTTATCGTTGATTTCTAATAAGGATGTTGTAGACCAACATAGGACTAGAGATTAGGTAAGGGAACTGGCCCGAAACAGAAGCTCTTGATGTAGTATTAAATAAAAAACTGTGAAATGGGTCCGCGAGGACCCCACGACAACCACGAAGGGTTAATAAAAACCCTAAAAGGATTTGAATTCCTAAAGTTTTCTTCAATAGTTATGAGTACTTTAATTTTGCTACTTGTATGACATATATAATACGCTATTTAAGAGATGGTTCGTCATAGCATGAATCATACCAGTAGTAACTAAATATCCTTTTTCTGTCTTTAATAATATATCAAGTTGTTTTGAAGTATTAATGAAAAATACTAAGGATCACAATTAACAAATTTTTGTGGTTAGATCATAAAAATTTAAAAAAAAAGAATTTCCAGTTCTTTGATGGTTCTGTTCAGAACTATCCTGTATTTGATTGGCCTTTTCAGACAGAAAAGATCTTACGAGATACAGGATTTCAAGAGCTTACAGAAACTCAATTGACTTTTTTGTACTGATGTAACTCCCCGAGATTCAAAGCAAATTACGAGCAAAAGTTCGACGATCAAACACAGACTTCTTCTTTTGTAGAAGCTCATTTACTTACTAAAACTTATTGTCATGAATAGTTGTATAGTACATTTTCTACGAAATTCTTTTCTGTATCTTTTAAAGCCTCTCCTGACTAGTGGTCTGCGTGATCGTCGATTTCACGATCACGGTCACGAACATGCGTGATCGTGCGTGATTAGAAACTTTTTTCTCGTCGTGATCGTGATCATGCGTGATTGGAAATTTTTTTCGTGATCGTGATTGTGACCGTGATCGAAACTAAAATTTCGTAACCCTAACTTTGGCATACCCACGAAATAAATTTTGTTGAAAAAACGCGGTCGACCGCGGTAAAGACAACCGCGGTTTCTAGCGGTGTTAGAGGGTGTGGTAGTCAGACCATTTATTCGTCTCGTCAAAACCGTCGAAAACCGCGGTTTTAACTAAACGCGGTAGGACGCCGTTAGAGAAAACCGAGGTTTTCGACGGTTTTGACGAGACGAATAAATGGTCTGACTACCGCGGTCCTCTAACACCGCTAGACACCGCGGTTGTCTTTACCGCGGTCGACCGCGTTTTTTCAACAAAATTTTTTTCATGGTACTACTTATTTATCTATCTACTTATCCATCGATCTATCTAGCTACCTATCTAACTATCTATCTCCTTATCTATCTATCGGCCTATCTAACTATCTATCTACCTATCTATCTATCTATCTACTTATCTATGTATCTATCTACCTATCTAATATCGACGCCAAAATATAATGAAAATCGATATTTTTTAAATATCTCGAGAATGAAAACAGCTAGAAACCTGCGGTTTTCACCATTCGAAAGAGAAATGTGGTGGAAATAAAACTCTGCCAAATTTGATTGGTCAATAATCGACCAATCCTGTGAGCGCTCATCGGACATTTTGAAGACTGTCTAAGGAAACTATTTTTCATTGGATTTTAGATTCCAATATGACCATTCGATGGAAAAAATTGTTCGCTTTCGATCTACGCAAAGTTGAGCCGCTATGGCTGAATGGTTAAGATGTTTGACACATATCCACAAGATACTGTGTTCGAACCTCGGCTCCATCAGTCATAGAATGACCTTGGACAAGTTACTAACGGCTGTTTTGTCTCGGACCACCCATCCGATAACAAACTGACTACGTTGTTGACATACACTAAATGGTCCTTGTGACTAGTATGTTGTTAGTTAGTATGTATGGGGAGCTTAAGAAATTAAGCGAGAAGAACTCTGAGTCAGGCCGGCCTTCTGTCCAGAGCTACATTTAGTAATAGATGTAGGAAAATATCGGGCTTCTCGAAACTGTCCTCGGACAGCACCCTATACCGCAAGGTAGCCGAAAGGCGGGGTATTCTTCTTCTACGCAAAGTTGAGCTTGGTAGCTTGCTTTGTTCAAGAGCTATAAGCATTTTCCTGAGACCCTCAAAATCGGCCAGGTAACCTTCAATCATCCTAAAATAGGTCACAATAGGGGTAACTGACCATGCTGAGTTTAGTTGTGATGCTTGTTTTTAGTTTCAAAGCAATTTGAAGTCAGAATATCAAAATTTTTGATTTATCTGTATTCTCACCCACATATCGAAAAAAGTGATACTATCCGAAATTTTGATATACTGACTTCAAATTGCTTTGAAACTAAAAACAAGCATCACAACTAAACTCAGCATGGTCAGCTACCCCTATTGTGACCTATTTTAGGATGATGGAAGGTTACCTGGCCGATTTTGAGGGTCTCAGGAAAATGCTTATAGCTCTTGAACAAAGCAAGCTACGGAGCTCAACTTTGTGTAGATCGAAAGCGAACAATTTTTTCCATCGAATGGTCATATTGGAATCTAAAATCCAATGAAAAATAGTTTCCTTAAACAGTCTTCAAAATGTCCGATGAGCGCTCACAGAATTGGTCGATTATTGACCAATCAAATTTGGCAGAGTTTTATTTCCACCACATTTCTCTTTCGAATGGTGAAAACCGCAGGTTTTTAGCTGTTTTCATTCTCGAGATATTTAAAAAATATCGAGGTTCATTATATTTTGGCGTCTATATTAGATTCTGTCATGACTTTGATCATAAAAGCTCAATACAAACAAATATTTATCTGGAGATGCTTCTCGAAATGTAGCAGACATTGATTTATAAGAGAATTTATTGCTTTTCTTTGCAATAAATAAAAAATGGTTTCTGACATGTTTTGGTTCTTTCCGCAACATCGATAGATATCATAAAATCATCCAAATAATTGAAATCATGAAAACAACTAATGAGAAAAATATCGACGCCATAGCCAACGTACTAAATAACACTTCAAGTACAATCGCAGAAAAAGAGGGTAGAGAAGCATTGTAAAATTTAAACATATTAAAAACAAATACATATGCAGCAACACCAATAGGCGGTATAGGTAAAAAATATCTTAAACGAGAAGAAATAAACAAGCGTGCAAAATAAAGTGTAATTCCTGCAACTGCGATCAAAGCTCCTGCCAAGGCGATTGAGAGCGTGTTAATTTTCAAAATTTCTTCGTCCATGTTGATTTTCGTCTTGTGATGTTTAGCGTGTCTTTCTTCTTCGTCTTTTTCGGGCTCGTCGTCGTGATTTATAAGGTGTTGTTGAGCAAGAGAGAGTTGAGCAGAATGAGAATAGATTGATGTATGCAATCGTTGTTGGTCCTCTAGTGATCCATGGTTATTGATAGTGACTTCATATTCGATTGTATTTGATTGCATCGAAGAGATGACGAAGAGCTAGTGTGCTAAAGAGTGTGCGTATGTAATGTTGACGTTACACGATGAGAGAACGAAAAAAAACTGTGATGTGTACCTGTTTCAGAGAGAGATATCGTATGCGCGGGGGTAGACAAGTGTGCACTCTAAGTTAAAATGTGTCGCATGTGTCGTAATTCACAACACATTACACGGCACGAGGTGCTCGTTGCGACACATATTTCCACGACACATCGGACACATTCTGAAATCATGGTTCCAGCCTACATTTCACGGTTTTCGTAATTTTTTTTCTTTCATGCAATCTAGTCATCAACATTTGATTAGTGAAATTAATTTTAGTCCTCGATGTATCCCCATAACACACTCAGATCTCGAGATTCAAGTGTTTACGCCTAGGCCGATCTTGGTCAGGTTACTCTCAGATAGACCTTTCCAAGCGATTCAATTTTTCTCAAAATATTTACAAGAAATAAACAATCGAGAAATATTTTCAATACAATTAGGCTCACGGAAACTTATGATTCTCATATGGAATATCAGATCGACTATATATAGATGTATACGTGGGACAAAGTCGTGAATGAACAGTCGTTATGTGTATATATATACAAATCTTAAAGGATATAAAGGAGTATATGTAACTATACAACACTGACTTTTTAATTCCATTGACTTTTGATGACTTCAATATCATTCAGAAAAATAAATGACATGCTTCGTTCGAGAATCGAACCCATGATCTGATCACTGGTTATTCGGATCAGTGCTCTAACCATTGGGATATCGAAACACAACTAATACATAATTTATTTTACTGAATGATATTAAATCATCGAAATTTTAACGTCGACACGATGTGTACGATGCACCTGGATATAGAGAAGCTATTTACTACCAAGTGAAAATGATGGTGGATTTTATTCTCCTCTTATCAGAAGATAAATATATAAATCCTAAAGAATAGAAACCAGTAAATGTAACTATACAATACATACTTTTTACTTCCTTTGACTTTCGATGATTTAATATCATTTCGAAAAATAAATTATGTGTTAGTCGTGTTTCAATAGCTCAATGATTAGAGTACTGATCCGGATAACTAGTTATCAGTTCATAGGTTCGATTCTCGAACGAAGTATGTCATTTATTTTTCTCAATGATATTGAAGTCATCGAAAGTTAATGTAAGTAAAAAGTCTTCATTGTATAGTTACATTTACTGGTTTCTATTCTTTAGGATATATATATTTACCTTCTGATAAGAGGAGAATAAAATCCACCATCGTTTTCACTTGGTAGTAAATAGCTTCTCTATATCCAGGTGCATCGTACACATCGTGTCGACGTTAACATTTCGATGATCTAATATCATTGAGTAAAATAAATTATGTATTAGTCGTGTTTCGATAGCTCAATGGTTAGAGCACTGATCCGAATAACCAGTTATCAGATCATGAGTTCGATTCTCGAACGAAGCATGTCTTTTATTTTTCTGAATGATATTGAAATCATCGAAAGTCAATGGAAGTAAAAAGTCAGTATTGTATAATTACAAAAGAATTGTATATGGAGAAATCAATCACGTGAATTGCTTGACCAATAATGACGTCACACGAAAAGGAAGAACATGAGATAAAAAAGACATATAAACTGTTAAACAGCTTAGCGTCTGTTAGCGACAACAACAGAAGCTAACACTACGATTAGATTTGAATAGATAAAAATCTTTATATGTCTGTAAAATTGTTTTCTCCTTTTATAGTAGATTTCAATATTTTACTTTAATCAATGACTCAAACTTCAGGTAAATAAACTATCGAGAGTACTAATATGCGAAAAAAATAACTATTACGTTTTTCATGCTTTAGCTGATCTACTTATTGCTGATACTGTTCCATTGTCAGATCCTTCGAAGTGGAGATCAAGAGTGCCGTTAGAAAACGGTAATTTTTCTCCTTCATACTATTAGTGTATCTATTTTTTCATTATCATCATGTCAAAGATCTTCAATTCGATTCATCATTCTGTCGTCCTAGTTTATACACTTCTGATGAAAATCTTCATTTGCGAAAAACAGTTGCGACAAACGAGTGGCGTACATGTCGAGCGATGAATGTTGGTTGGTCAGATAGCATTCATTATTGGTCAGTCAGAATAAATGATCGAAGTGCAGAAGGTTATTTAATGATTGGTGTTGTAACGGATGCCTTTGACGTCAGCGCTGTTACTTATCCAGGAAACACAGTAGATAGCTTTGGATTTTATATTTTCAACGGACATAAATACAATGGTAGTAATAGTGTGGCATTCACTAGTGATTTACCGAAAAATGGAGATGTAATTGGTGTACTTCTTGATCTTGAAGCTCGAACTTTAACTTATTTAAAAAATGGTAAAATTGTCGGCACATCATAGGGTCTTTTACTTGTCGATGGAACTATTATCAAGTATTATCCAGCCGTTGCATGTTATGAATTAGGGCAATGGATCAACTTTGCCAAGACCCTGAAATATTGATCATATTTCTCATAAGCGTCTAATCAAGAGGAATCCTAAAAAGCTCGCGGAAATCCTGAGAATCCTAGAAGTGAATAATGTAGAAGTCCGAAAAACAATAAAGTTACAAGTACGTGTCTTGTATACCAGTTGCAATGTGGGTGTGGGTGTGGTTGTAGATGTGTGCTGTGTGTGCGATGTGGCTGGTTGCCAGAAACTGTTCCAGCAGCACATTGGCACCCGCAAACGCACCCATGATACACATCTCACTCCGTCGACACCCACACCAGCACCCACAGCCCTTAAAGCATAGAAACACTAACAAGCGACAGTACTAACAAGCATCAAAGAGGTTATCTTAAAAACAGTAAAATGCTTTACAGCATCACATAGAGCTGTCTCGTCTAACATATGTTTTACCATAATAGATGGAAGAAAGCCCATCGGTGTGAACATGGGAAAGTCTCATAACGGAAATACCGAACGATTTAATGAATTTATACGTGAGTTTAATGCATTATGACTGCCAAAGCGATGCATTGTTTCCCTATAAACGCTAGCTCAGCAGAAACTTCACTTACGGAGTGGATCAAAGATTTCTTTCCTTTTTGCTCAAAACCACACGCACAGGTAACCATGATCCCGGGGATGTTAAGATTTTCAAGACTTCAAAGGTTTCCAAGAACTCAACAATTCAAATGATTGCTAGAATTCAAGAGTTTCAATGATTTCTAGAATTCAAGAGTTCCTGAAGAGTTTCGAACTCGTGGAACTCGACCACATCTCTTTTTTACATAACTCTTGTGAATTTCTTTTGCTGCGTGATCTCTGAAAAAAGGAACATATTATTTGTTCTCAGATGTGTGTGGATGTTACTGCCATAGCGTAGTTCTATAGATATCTAGTGAGTATCAATGGATGAGTATCAATTTGATTAGGTGAAGTTATGACAAAAATTATCACATGAACCCGCATACCATTGTGCACAGCGAGGTTGACGCTAATGTTAATATAAACAAACCTATCCATCCTTTTGAAGTATTTGATAGTAGTTTTATAGAAGCATGTAAAGAAGGTTGCCATATCGAAAGAACCTAATATACCTTCGACGGTCAAGCGAGCCATAGGGACAAGAGTTACTTTTTTTGTCTAAACCTGTGGAAGATCCTTTCAACATTTGAATGACACCAATTCACCGTTTACCAAAGCAAAGTAATTATGATTATAAAAATGTTAATGCTCTCAAACTATTGTACTTATAGTCCTAAGAGTTTCTTTCTGGCTGTTTGACTTTTTTTTACTTGTAGCTACATCATCGAAAATCACTGCAGTATCTTTTGTAATGTACATGCCACTGCGTATTTACGTTCTTAAGGAACGAGACAATTCTTCAATTAATCATTCCAACTAAATATCTAAGTCAACTATTTTCTCTAGTATATCTTAAAAGAAAAGCCGAGTTTACGCAGCATTTCTTACCTCCTGCCATCATTTAATTTCGACTTTTATCAAACGCATCCAATTGAATCAGAGAGAATCTTCATACCAGTTAGATTAAATATTGAATTAGACTAACAGAATTCTAATAATTCATCATAAACAATTACGAAATTTAATTACTACCCAACATGCATTTAGGCTTTTTATGATGAAAACTGCTTTAGCTTAAGATTAATGCTTTTTCTTAAGAATTGTTCGTTAATAGTTTCTACAATCCAATCCGTTCCTATGACTTTCAGCTAAACTTACAATAGGTGAAATGAATAACAGTACTCAATGTTTGTTTTGGAAAGCTGAATCAAGTAATAGTCTATTACGAAATGAAACTCTTAAAAGCTGGCGTATTTATCTGCTATGCTATGTATGCAAAAGCACAGTGATCTGACACCCAAGCAGGCAAACATTTTCAAAAACGCGTTTAAACGCACAAAAAAGTCTTCAAAACCACAAAAAGTGGTCGTGTTTGGCTCACGATCGCGGTTTCCCATTCTTAGATAAAAACAAACAGTTTTTATCCGTTTTGTGCGTTTAAACACGTTTTTGAAAATGTTTGTCTGGTTGGGGGGAGTTCGATATTCGTAGCTAAATATTTTTCTTTCAGTTACTGTTAAGAAAGATGATTCTCTTTTGATACATATCTTGATCTAAACATGGTTGCTGGAAATGTCTGTGTACAACGTCAAAATAGTTAGCAGTAGAATCACTTATTTTCTGTATAGAATCACCCGTCACATTGTATTGGCTCTCTACAAGGTTGTGTTTGATGCGGCAATTCATTCTCTATTGGACGGTTTTATTTTCAATATGAATCATCAAGGAAAAACTGGAATTTTACTTACAATACTCTATTATCTGCTTGAAGCGCTTAGTAACCCTTGTGGAGATTGATTTTCTTTTCTTTCTTTGTTTCTTAAACTAATATACTCAACTCCTAATTAGATTCTACACCAAATGTTAATATTCTCCTGAAGAATGTGCGACAAAATATGGATCTCTATACTAATGAAAATGAACGTGTAACCAGTGGATCAACTCGATTATAACAGGCTTTGCTTGTCGAACATTTATTACATTACGCAAAGGAACTTCGTTCCTAAAGAAAGACTTCTAGTGTGGGTATACTACATCCCTAGTAGCATCTGAGGAAAATCTCAAGTCTGATAACCGATACCGAAAAGTTGACCGTTCGATAGAAAATTGAATGCTGAGCCAAGTGGAGTCATTTAAAGGAACAATATAAGTAACTGGGCGAATCTCAACGAGAGTTGCTAACGAAATAGAGGCAATAGATAGAGTATTTGAAGTGCAAAACGTAGTTCTCACTAACATGATCCACTTGGAAAAAGAAACTATCGAATAGAGAGTAGAATTCTGTGTAAAATACGATCTTTTAAAGGGCTGAATTAGTTCGAAGGACGAATCAGAGCCGAAAATTTTAGGATCCCGTGTTAACTTTACTTGCGTAGAGAAATTAGCAATCTATTCAACATTTGCAGAAACTCAGAAGCACTACATGCTTCTTACTTCTAGAATAGAGCCCATCCTCTACGTGTTCGAATTATTTTTTAATAGTTAAACGAACTTTTCAGAAAATTATTTTGCACAAAACTCGAATCTCTCAGCAGCAGAGAATTTTAAGTGTAATAGTATTCAAAATTTTTGATATTAGTCGTATTCCAAATTGAAAGTTTGAAAAAAAGAACAGCTACCTGCTTTGTCTCCTTTGAAAATTTCTTAGGGATTTGGAATGAAAAATCTTTCCAAAGATCAGTCGTTCGCGGATGGGATTAGATTCCTCTGTTTTATATTAATGGCAATGCTGCTGGATATCTAATTATGACCTATACACAAGTACAAAGAAATAACATAGAATATCTCAATATCTTCTATGACACTTTTGAGTTTACCAAGTGAAGGATATGAAATAGATAGACTTTAGTATCACCTTAAGTTCTTCCCTTGTTGGAAAACATTCCTTCTCTGTGATTTTAAGCTCTGAAAGATTTTCCTAGAATCAAAAACAAATCTCAATGGTTTTTAATAGGACAGAGGTTACTGTTAACACAAAAATGCGTCGTGCGGTTTACGAACACCAAGTTCATCTGTAGAAGACACTCAAATGTTGCTAATCCACTGATCGAATTGTTTTGAAAAACATTAGCATTAGCACGAAAGTCGATTTCTTTATTGTCATAAGAATCTTTATTTTTCATTTAACATCTCAATATGTTGACTTCTTTTGCAATTCAATAGGGGTAAAATAAATTATCTTAGACACGAAGAAAAGTATTCGATATGCTACTGTACTTAAGACGTGCTGTTTAATACTTGAAACCCTATCAAGTAATGATAGTATTAGATTTTGAGGATTTGTTTGGTATATTTGCTTTTCAATCTTTCTGATCTCTTCGATAGACAATGTTAAGTGTGAAATTTCAGTTTCTGCTAAATAGTACCATGGCTAGTGAAAATAGTCGAGTTAAAGATTTTCCCTGTCCCTCTTCCAATGATTGCTATTGATTACAGATGTCAGTCGACCGATTTTAACTTATTGTTAGTGTTCTGCTTTCGAAACATTTCAAAAAAGCATGTAAAAACTGAAAATGTCGTCTGTGCTGTCACTCAAAGGCATCCAAAGGATAATTTTAATATGATGAATTCCATAGAGAAAGGATCCCGTTCAATTTTCAAGTTAATATAAAATCGGAAGAACTATTCAGAAACGAATGCGCAGAAGTTTTATTGTGTATAATGAAGCGAAAGTCTCTTGTTTCGTATGATTCTTCTATCATTTTTTTCTTTGTTGAGTCTCAGCGAAAATAGCAATGTTACATAGAGAATGAAGCTTCCCATCTAAAAAGAAACAGCAATCAAAATCAAGCAAAAAATAAGACCTTAATTCCTTGAGTCACTAATGACACAAGTTTTGTTTTAAATATTGCAAATGCAGCCTCTCCATCTGAAATGTTTATGAAATTTTCTATGAGATTTTTAATTTTTCACTGAGTTAACTTGCATCATAAGTATCCTTGAAAAGGTCGGCCATCCGCACACATATGGTGCAGGTTTTTCCAGATTAATATGATTTGAAATCTAGCAAGAACTTGCTGTATTGCATCTATGACACTACGTCTAACTTACTTCTACCACTTTTAGATCAAAATATTCCATAACGCGATAGAGTGTCGGGACAGCAGTGGAGGAACAGGCTTTCAGCCATGCAAACACTTATACTGATAACACACTCCCTTAATTTCACAAAAAATGTCACATGTAAAAGTTTTCGAGTAAAACCGACAGTATCGTTGCCAACGAAAACTTTATGCCGAACTATTCTTATTTAAAATTTTATTTTCTTGATTATTAGTTTTCAGTTTCAATAGACTACAGAAAACAGTATTCATCGAATACAAAATTTT